GCAGCCAAGCCTGGGGAGCGGTGTGCGGCCGAGCCCTTCCCGGGGCTGCCAACTTCCGTGCCTCCGGAGCGAGCCCACCGGTGCCCGGCAGACCGATGGGTGGCGCCCGGCCTCACCTTCTCCCCCGTCCTCGGCCGGTCCCGCCCTGCTCTGCCCGGAGCTGCCGGACCCTCAGCCAGCAGCATTTCTGAGTGGACTGAGAAGCGCCCACTTGGTGGCGCTGTAAAGCTACCAGCGAGGTCCAGAGAGGGCAAACCCAAGCCCGGGGAGCGGAGATCTGATCTTCCAGTTACTGAGAATGTCAGAAGGCTGAACAGTGACAGCCGGCATTCCACAGAAAATCTCAATGTTGTTTGGTGAGGACTCTTCCCGGTCAATGGGCATTTGTGTTTGACACCTGTCCAGCACCGACTCCCGGTGTCTGTCTCCCTGGCACTCGGCCACACACGCTTCTGACCTCAGGGCTGTGCCACGGCTGCGGACTCACAAACACACAGACGCTAGGAAAGTCTCACTGAGCACGAGTGCAAGGCTCTCCTGCTTTGGTTTGTCAGTGTGCTAACCAAACACGGCCTGCTCCCCCTTCACATCCTCAGCTGGACAAACGACAGCACAGTGAGAGCCCGAATCTGATGCGTCACAGGCATTGGCATGGCCGGGCAAGGCTGCAGGAATCAGATGAGCACATGGTGTTTCCCTGCAGCTTCCCTGCACCGAGGCAAATTCTCTGGGATCGAGGGCTGCCCTGTGCCTGCTTTTAAAAACAGGGCACTGGGGATTTACTTGGGTTCTCATTTTTTAATGTGACTGCATGTTGGCCTGACAGTACCAAGCAGTGTATGAACAATGTGTGTGCAGCGGAGAACATACGTCTTCAGGAGCTGGGGTGGGGAGCCGGGCAGCCTGGACCCTGGCTCAACTCTTGCTGCTTTTGAGACCTTGGCCCAACATCGCTGCTTCTTTGATGCCGTATGCTTATCTGTGGACCAGGTCAAAAGCTCCTGACTTCTAAAGCAGCTTTGGAGTCAGATGAGACAGTGTACTGGCCACACAGGTGCTCAGCGGTGGTAGCTGGCTCTCCCTGAGCAACCAGGTGAGTCTGTGTAACCAACGGCCAGGCAACTGCAAGGTGGGAAAATGAGCTTGCGCTGCTTGGAAACAGGTGTTGCTTCAGACCAGGATGCACTGTCTGAAACGCTGGCCCACACGTGTGACAGATGAACTTAGAAGGAAGCGCTGCTCTCAAAGCCTTGGCTTCCAATGCAGCGCTGTAGCTGCTGCCTCCCGATTCAGGTGTGAGTGATGGCCAAGGTCATGCGTGTTTGGAGCTGACTGTGTCCTCACCCTGCATACTGAGCACTCGACTCCCGGTACTGCGAGGTGACCCTACTTGGAAAGAGGGTCTTTGCAGATGATCAGGTTAAGGCAGGGTCTTGAGGGTGAGCTTCAGCCGACATGACCGATGTCCCTGTGGACAGGAAACACCTGGCCGTGGAGAGTCATGCAGGGAGGGCTCCACGGCATGACAAAGACAGACGCAAGGCAAGCTGGGACAGAGATGGCCAGAGCCGCCAGAAGCTCGGCATCCCCAGATGGCCTTGGCCCCAGGTGGGAGAGACAGGGACACCCCCTTCCCAGCCCACTGACGCCCTCACTCTGGGCTTCTGACTGCGGAACCCGGGGACAGCAGGTGTCCGAGATCCAGATGGCTCGCTGCTCGGCACTGCATGGAAGCCCTCACATCAGGCCAGTGTGTACAACCGTGCAGGTGACGAGCAAGCGTCCACCCCTGAGGGTCACTGTGGCCCTGCTGTGGGGTCCTCACCATCACTCACACCAGCCCCAGAGCAGCAACCCCGGCCGGTTTCCCCTCCTGGTACTGCAGCTTACTTTCACTTCGATGCTTACCGTTGTTCAAGAGGAATCTACAAAAGCACCTTTCTGTCAAGCTGTTGTCAAGATTTTTAAACAGGCAAGTCCCGTGACTGGCCAGGGGCCACTCCGGAAAAGGCCCAGCGTGGAAGGAGGCTCCGCCAGGGGCAGGCGAGGGTGACAGCGGCCGCCGCGAGGTGCCAGGGCAGGGAGTGGGCGTCCTGACCTGCATGCTCGCACCCCAGGGTGTGGGGATCCGCTGTGCAAACACCGAGGCTCCTGGAGGGGCTCCGCGGAGGCCTCGCGTTCATGCCTGCTCCGGGACAGCACGAAGAAAGCAGTTCTTGACGTAACCCGTCTTGTGATGACGCCACGAGAAGTCCCCGGGACCGGCGCCCACACTCCCGCGGCCAGCGGCACGGCTAGGACGCCTGTCGGCAGAGCAGGCGGTGCGGCCCGGCTCCGGGAGATGTGAGGCCGCGCGATGTGCTCAGATCAAGTGACCAGCAAAATAAATCCGTGTTCCGAGAGTATTTGACTCCCGGGCATGAAGAGCACTAGGGCCGCCTCACCGGGGCTTTGCTTCTGAGGTCGAGGTGGGACAGGGCTGGTCTTTCTTGCGGGAGAAATGGACACTGCGAGCGTCTACTCCGCTTGCACGCGCTGTGCACACAGCCCCCCCCCCCCCAGGTGCCTGGGGCGCCTCACCCTGATTCACGCGGCCGCTACTCCCAGGACTTCCGCCCTCCACATCTGCCGCTCTATTTGGTTTAAGTTAGATTTTGAAATTAATTTTATTTTTCATTAAAACTGCTCAGCTCTGCCCTTCCCCCTCTCTCTTCCTCCAGCTGCGGGTCCCCCTGCACCCCTGGCCCTTCCCCGCGCACCCGACACCGCTTTCCTCACGTGGGTCGCTAGACACGGAACGTTTTCCGTTCCCGCCAAGGGGCGCGTTAGGCGGTTGCACCCGGCTAGCGTGGCTGGTGCGTGAAAAGCAGGGCTCTACCCGCGGAGTGGAAGTGAGTTTACTCCGCCAATCGCTTCTTCCAGTGAGAAAGGGAGTCGCCCTCTTCCCACCCGCAGCTCCCCAGGTGACGCAGTGGGGCGCCCCGGCCCCCGTCCACAGCTGGGGACAGCAGGCCTGCTGCTGCCCCTGCGGTGGTGAGGACCACACCACAGGACTTCTCAGCACCCGCGTCCCCAGTGACCACGGAGGACATACAAGAACAGGGAAATAAGGACCCAGGCACGAGGGATCCAAACATAGTAACCGGAAGTCTAGAAAGTCAGGACCAAGGGAAAGTGGTCAGAGCTGGAGACTGGTTTTCCTAAGTAAGCTTTAAACAGGACTCCGAGGTTCCTGCAGGTTCAGAGGTCGGGGGTCAGCCCTCGGTCCGTGACAGCAGGGTGGGCTGTATGGACGCCACGTGCAGCCCAGAGTCTCAGCGCCCAGACGTGCACCCAGCAGGCGACACTTTCAACAGCTGCGCACTTCTGCCCGCACTCCAGCTGCACCTGGCCCTCACAGACCGCCGTGCTGGGCTCCTGCGTTTCCCTGCTTCTTCCCTCCCAGCACACACTGCACCAACAGCAGCCCTGAAATGGGCTCCCGAGCCGGTGAGTGTGCAGCAGGGCGCGCGCTGGCCACTGGCTCTCACTGCCCACGGAGCCTTCCGGGCCCTGGGCCTCGGCCTGGGAGTCACCCTGTGTAGCTGGCGGGGGACTTCGTCGTGGCTCCCTGAAGAGCAGCAAAGCGCCTGGCAGGAGGCTGGGGCAGACGTGGACCCTGCCCAGCCCTCGGGCCCAGTCTGGGCTCTCCATGGTCCTTGTCCTTCGGTTGGCCTCGTGCTCTAACAAACAAGGGGCACTGCTGTCCTCCGCGGCTCGGTGCGAACCTGCCAGGCTCAGGTGGTTCTGTTTTCCATGAAAAATGCACCCTCTTCAAATTGCCTATTTTGAACCGGTTGAAAGCCCCTGGCTAGGGAGTAATGGCACCGCTCACAGGCCCCGACAGAGCCCCCTGGAGCTGTGGAGCCACCGCCGGGGACCAGGCTCGGGCCCACGCCCTGCACCTGGGCACAGTGGGCCTGGCGCCGCTGCTCCGCCCTCTTGGGGTTGTGGAGCTGTTGAGGAGTTTCATCTTTCATTTCTGGATCACCACTTCCTAGCAGACCCTTAGCCCCACGCGGTTGGGGAATATTTCTCTACCTGTTGCTCTTACTTCAGTAAACATCCATCCCATGGATCAATAAGTTACCTGGGAAATTGTAGGTGCTTGATAAACATTTACCAGTTGATGACTGTATGTGGAAAATTAATCACATTTTCATCCAATGGGAAGTTAAGTGTTTTGAGAAACACTCAATATATCTTATGTAAGGTCACCCTCGAATCCATGTAAAATCCTTAGTCTTCTCCAAGGCTTTCTAATTAAGCAAGTGATACATGTTGTGGAAAATCTGGAAAACAGAAGAAAAAAGGACACCAAATTCTTCTACGCCAAATGGAGAACGGCTGACACAGTCTCGTGTAAATTGCGTACATGATTTCATCTGATCTTTACTCAGCCATGGTGATTTTCCTACCCCTTATTCTTTGTGCTCAATGTTCTTGTTAATAGCCTCGAAGTGACTTTAACAACTGTGCACGGAGACACTACATGTCTGCATCTTCATGAGGAGCGTCATGGCGACCCCACACACGTGTGTGTAACAGCAACCCAGGCAAGGGTTTCCGCCTCTTCAAATACTGATGTTTTTGTGGTTCTGGGGATTGAGCTCAGGGCCTTTATACTGAGTTGCATCTCAACCCTTTAATTTTATTGTTAATTTAATTTGTGTGTGTGTGTGTGTGTGTGTGTGTGTGTGTGACAGGGTCTAACTATGTACTTTAGGCTGGACGTGGACTCACTGTGTAGCCCAGGCTGGCTTTGAACTCATGGTGATCCTCCTGCCTCAGCCTCCTGAGTGCTGGGATTACAGGTGGTGTGTGCCATCACCCCGGCTCATTAATCATTTTTATATGTTGGGAATTGCATACTCTTCTGGTGATTTTGAGGGTGTGTACTAGATTATTTTAGTCAGTACACAGATTGTTTTAACTGTCCTGTAGAAAAGCCAGGACTCGTTCCTCCTGTGTTTCAGTGCCCTTCATTGAGCTCACAGCAGGGAAATCTAATACATGCATTGTACTCCATGAATATAAACAATTATTATGTGTCAATCAAATAAATACAGTTTATAGAAAGCCAAACAATGAAACAAAACCAAAGCCAACTCAGACAAGGGTGGAGCTTCCCCTGGGTGTAGAAATCCCGCTATAGCACAGAGAGGGCAGCTGGGTGTTTGAAGCTGCTGGTTGTCGGTAGGAGCAGACATTCCTGGAACCTGCCCGCACATGCGGGGACTGGTCCTGGGATGTTCGCAGGGGCGCCTCCCTCTCCCGCCCTTCTCCAAGGCGACAGTCGGGTTCATTTTGGGCTAAACTGGGAGGGGGAGAGGAAAGCACAGCCCATGCTCATCTGAGGAGGAGTCTCCCCACTTCTCCACTGTGGCTCCGCCCGGGTGGGAAGGAGAGAGCCTTTGGCACAGGGGTGTGCGTGTGAAGTCGGGTCTCATCCAGGTGCCTGCGCTTCTTCCAAGGTAGGAAGAAGTCCCTTCTCCTCCAGCTTCTTCTTCCTCTCGGGATGGGGGTGCTTCGACTGGCTTCCCTGCTCCCCAGGGGCGGGGTTGTGCACCCTCTGGGGCTGAGCACGCGCTCCTGTGGGAAGTCCCACCTGCTCTGTCGGTCAGCTGTGCCCACCTTGCTCCCGAGAGCCTGGTCCACACTCACTGCCCTCCTCCTCCTCGGAGGAAGCGGGAGCTCCTGGCTGCGCCTGCGGCCCACACACACAAGAGGAGCCTCGGCCCCCAGCACAGGGCCCAGGTGAGCACGGGGCCCGAGGGAAAGCCGCTGTGACGGCTTGTCCAGGGATGGCAAACCCTTCCGAGCTTTCGGTGCTAGCCAACTGCTCACTGCAGCTTGAGTGCCAAGGTTCGCCACCACTGGCTATGGTGGCCCCACGAGCCTGGTGCTCCCATCCAGCTGTCCTGCCCCTGTGCCCTGTCCATCCCTGCTGGCTCTGCCTCCTCCTGGAGGCTGCTGTCCTCAGGCCTTCGCTCCAGCTGGGCCTCTGCCTGGAGTGCTCCTCCCTCCTCTTTGGCGTCCTCAGGAGGCCACTGCTGCCCGTCTCAGCACCGCAGCCATCTGGAGTTCCGATGGCCTCAGCCTGTTCCTCTTTCAAATTGTCCTGTGGTCTTGCATTCTTTCCACCCCTCTAGCTTCTTTACATATGGAATCCAGTGTGTTCTTGAATGTAATCTGCCCAGGCGAAAATGTGGTCACCGGGTGACTCTCACCATCTACCAGTGAACAACTGACATGTCCAGGTACTGAGGGTGCCCCGCTTTGCGCAGGAGGCTGGGTGCTCACCCCAAAGCGGGGCCTGGACCAGCTGGCTGGAGCTCAGGAGGCGCCTGAGTCCTTGGACAGCAGACACGGGGCCGCAGCTGTGCACCCAGGGCCACCTGGCCTCCTCTTCCCTGAGACTGGATCCCTAGGCCCCAGGGCTGGTATATCAAACCCACGGCTCTGGGAAGTGCCCCAGAGCCTCTCCCAAAAGAGCTCATGATGGTAGGTCCAGGCCCGACCCTCGGGACAGGACACGCACCCAAGACCTGTCCAAGTCAGACCCCTGTCCAGCCCGAGCTGGCTGTGGGCCACAGCGGAAGGCTTTGCTCTGCAGGAAGCAGAAGGTGGAGGAGCCAGCAGGGCAGAGCCCTGGGGGGCTTGAGGGAGCCAGCCCCCCACCCCAAGATGCTCTGTTTCTAATTCACATTAGGGACCGGGGTGATTTACAGCTAAGGAACCCTATGCCAAAAGCAGAACTGGGCCCACTGGTGGGGTTGCCGGTTTTAGGGTGCCAGTACCGAGCTATTCATTCTTCAGTCAGCCTCCTTGGTGTAGACTCGCTCCTGAACTCCTGTTTTACTAAAAGGTCTTGCTCTGCTGGTGGTTTGGGTTTCTGTTTGTCTTGTTTCTGTTGCTGCCACCATTTGATCTTGTTTATGTTGGCATTAAGACGGTTTTCATTGCAATCTTGAGGCTCGGTAATAAAGCTACACATTGCCCGGGTGCTGGGTGAAGGGACACTCGAATTTATCCTCCTACCAGCGCTTCCGGGCTGGCCAGGGATGTCACGTGTTGATGGGAACGGGGATGGGGACAGGGACAGAGTATCACAGCGGGCAGCGGCCTGCTAGGTGGCTGGTCAACAGCACGGACTTCTTCCCCACGGAAGAGACTAACGGGATCAATTTAGCATTTCCCAGTGGGTGCGTCTATTTCAGCCTTAACCGCCCTAGAAATGGATGGCACATTAAGCACAAAGCAGAGTGCGTGGGGGAACATCATGAGGGGAACAACAGGCCCCATGCACGAGTCGGGCTGCGGCTGACGACTGCAAGCGCAAGGCGCGCTCCAGTGGACAGAGCTCGGGGTGCGGAAGGAGGACAGCGCTGGCGTCTGCTTCCAACCAAGGGGCCGTGGGCGGCGAGTCCAGCGCCCTCGTCCCCACCCGGGTCCTCCCCAGGACGCAGACAGCAGCCTGGCGGTCGCCTAGCAGTCACCTAGCAACCCAGCAAACAAACCTTGGGGGGAAGGCGGGAGGCTGCGCTCCAAGACCGAAGACTGAGCCCAGCCGCGCACTCGCACGCTCCCCTCGGCGCCTCCTCCGTGCGGTGGGCAGTGCTGCCTGTGGCTGGGCGCAGGCGCGATGCGCAGCGCAGCGTGTTTGCCTTCTGAGTACACATGGCCAGGACAGGAGGACGCCATTGTCCCCTGGTCGGAGGAGTGGGGGCCTGTGCCTGACGCAGCTTCCTCTCCTCTCATCCCTACCCTTCCCCTGCTCCTTCCAGCGCTTGCTCGGTCTCCTTCCCACTTGTAAAAGCTCCATTTTCACCATTTCCCCCTCAGTTCTTTGGCCTTTTTCCATCTGTTTTCCCTCCTCTCCTCCCCTCTCCTTCTGTCTCTTATTCGGCAACAGATCTCCCTACTTCTTTGTTTTATTTTGCTCCACCTGTCTATCATCTGTCTTCTCATATAAGAGAAACTATGCACTATTCAAACTTAAGTGTCTGATTTATTTCACTTACCGTGGTCTCGATGTGCGTCCACCTTTCCACGAATGCCTCAGGTTTATCCTTTTTTATGGCAGAGTAGTGGTCCGCTGCGTCTGGCAAAGTTCAGTTTCTGCTGCATGCATATCAGTTTTGCACCATTGTAGAGGCAAAAAATTGAAGGTCAGACAGCAGTGAGCGTCTGTACTCGGCCCCCCGAAGTGTGCTGGTCAGAACAGGCAGTCTGCCTGCGGCCCGGGGTCAACTCTCCAGTGCAGCGGGAATGCCCCGGGGCCGCCACCGTGGCTGCTTTTCACGTGTGTGTCTCTTCCTTGCAGATCCTAATGAAAACTCCCAAGCGCAGGAAAACGAGGACCACGTGTCCACGGCCTGTTGACGGGAGCGGGGGACGCGGGCGTCTGGGCTTGGCCGCCAGGCACAGCTGCGTGGGCAGCGGCGCTCGCTAGCCCGGCCTGCCCCGTCCTGCGGCTTCTTTACACACGGTGGGTTCCAGTCTCTTCAAGTCAGGACTCTCCTCTTCCTGAGAGTCTGATTCGAGTTCTGGGCCCTCACTTCTGAAACGTGCGGCGGACACTCACCTGCTGGAGCCCCGGGTCAATCGGGTGCCGAGGTGGACCTCGAGCGTGCAGCCTTTGGGTGCTCGCCGGCTGGACTCGAACTCTGTGCTCTGACATGATGAAATGGAGTGAGCTGCGAGGCGGCCTATGATCACAGCCAACCGTGAGAATGCTGATGTCTTCGTGCACTGCATTCGCCACTTACAAACTCGGCCCTAGGGCCGGGGTTTAGTTCAGTGGTGCCGCCGCCTGCCCTGCAAGTGCAAGGACCGAGTTCGATCTCCGGTACCAAAAAGAAAAAAATATCATCACTGAGACTGCTGGGTGATATTGCGGCAGACAATCCCTTTTGTGGGGACCACTCTGAAATATGGCCCTTCTGTTGCTTAATCTAAAATACCTTTTTTATTCTTGTTTTGGTCGAGTGGTGTATTTTGAAAAGTCCTGCATGCCTATTCTTTGCAGGGCAGGAATTTTGGGTTGCAGGCTACATAGAGGGCCCTTTGCATTATGTGACCTGAAACCACATTTCTCCCCAAGTACTCTTTGGAACTTTCTCCTAAAAATAACTCCAGAAAAAGGTCTTGTCAAAAGCCATTAAATTCAGACCTGAGTTAATAATTTTATTATGTCTTAAGCAAGCCAATTCCTTGTTTGTTTAACTAAATTCTTGTTATAAACTGATTAGAGACCATCAGTGCTCATTACATACCAAATTAATTCTGGTCTCCTGTGGCCTGCACTGGACCCTCTTCGGGGCTGGCCCTGAAGACTGCCTGAGGAGCGCTAGCTAAGTGCAGGCCTTAGGGTGGGGCAGCGATTACTGGAGGGCTCACTTGTCCTGGCCTAGGCCTAGGAGCAGCGGGCTTCTGCTGGGGGAGGAGTGAGGGCCTGAGGAGGCTGGAAACTGAGGAAACAGACTTCCCTCTCAGAGGAGAAGCGGGCAAGAGAACATTTCTTTCTCATCTTGCAAAGTAGCATCTTAGCTCAGTAGAACAAAACCTGAACTTGGCATTCAGGCAAAAGTCCAAGGGCTTCGGTAAGGACAGACTGGCCAGCCAGGTGCGCACCTGACGGATGGCAGAGAGCGGCTGCCATCTACTGCTAAGGGTGGGCTCAGAGGAGAAGGACACAGATTTGCACTTGTGTGTTAGATGCGGATTACGTATTATGAGCTGAGGTCAGAGATGAATCGGCATAATTACTTTTTTATGAAAAGGAAAACATAACTTCGCATTGTTGTTGCTCCCATTCATCTCCTGAAAATTTATTTCCGACATTCTCCGAAGTTGGATATTTTGTTTTTTCCCCAATCTTTACCTATTACAAATACCATGGAGTAGCAACAACTAGCTGAAAATAAATTAGCAAAAACCAAAACAACAAAAACAGAAAAACCCAATCCTATTTCTGAAAAAAAATTACAAAATCCCCCTGAAACTCTGGGTTCATATAGTGTTATAAAACAACCCCATTCTACAACTACGTCATCAAACTCGACAACAGTGACTGGGGATACGCACTGCTGACCAGATTATGGTGCTGGCTGACTCGTGCTGTTCAGTTTGTAACATTAAATTGCGTTCGACCGCTTGCTCTGCTCTAAAACACCCACAGAGAGGCAGGCAACAAGCGGTTCGGGTCATGTAGTGAGTGTACCGGTAAGGGTTCCACCAGGCGCTGAGAGGGAGGAGACAGAAAGTCTCCAGTGAGACACTGGAGCTGGGCTGGAAGGAACAGGCTTTGCCACCCAAGCCCAGTGGGAGTGCAGAAACAGTGTCCACATGTCTTCGTTTGGTTTTTGAGACAGGGTCTTGCTATGTAGGCTGGCCTTGCACTCCCAGTGATCCTCCTGCCTCAGCCTCCTGAGAGCTGGGATTACAGGCCTGCACACCATGCCTGGCTCACGTCTTTTCTTTAGGTCATTTTTTCTTTTGATCACTGGGTCCGGGGCGGAGGTGACTACAGTTAACCTGACAGAGTCAGTGTCTTTGAGATGCGTGTGTTCTCTCCGGTGCAGTCATTCAGCTTTTGTCATATTTGTGCCCCACTGGGGAGAACGGAGCACTGGGCTCGAGTATTTGGGTTGGCAGGTCAAGGCTTAGCCCAGTGGCACCACTGGTCCCATGGAGATGTGGATTAGGGTCAGTGAGATCAAGGCAGGGCGGCCAAACGTTACTCCCTGGAATCCAGAGTGATCATTTTGGGCTGCGTCCTCCACGGTTGACTTTAGGTGCATCTGTCCCTCTGTCATGGGCTTACAGGCTCCCTTCTCTGAAGTCCACTCTCAGAGAGCACTTGTCACACCTCTTAGGAACTGTCTTGGGTGGTACAGGCAGCATCTCAGGAGCACGCTCGCTGCTGAGATACGAAGGACTCTAAGTCCATCAGATTCCTGCAGCTGGGTCATGAGCTATACCTCACGAAGAGCTCCCGGGCTAAGCCGAGATCCCTGTGGTGGACAGCAACTGCCCACGGCCACTTCGCGGGCCTCTCCCTGTGTCCCCGTCCACTCCACAGCCTTCCCCGCAGCCGAGCACCTGAAGAACTACGTCCCCAGCCCTGCTCACCGTGTCCGGCAGCCTCGACCATGGGCAGATGGGCCGAAGCAGAAGACAGGAGGCCGGGAGGCGCAAGGCTTCCTGTACTTCCTGCTGCAGCTCCTGGGTGGCCCCTGCTTCCTCCCAGGGTCTGGCTCCTGCTGCGCCCATTTCTCATCTGAGGCGCCACCTTGTCCGCAGGTTCCCAGAGCCTGCCAGGCAGCATCTGCTCTTGGATGGCACCGCCTGTGGGATTCTGCAGCTCACCATTGCCGGCCCGGCGTTCCTGGCTGAGCCTGCTTTCTGTTTTCTTGGTGGGTGCAGCACTCGTGATAGTGGCTCAGACCCTAAAGAGCACGGGGAGGGGGGTGTCCCCCTTCACGGTGGAGCCGCCCCTCATCCCCACCAAGACGCTAAGACGCTCCGAGCCAGGGAGCCTCCGAAGAGGCCGCTCCTGCCTCCTGAGGGCAGGGCCCTTGGGCAGTCACCACAGGCCGTTGGTTCCTGGCGAGTCCCATGGAGTCCCCAGGTGACCACTGCCACTTGGCCAAGTGTCTTTATCTTGGGAGACAAATACAATCTTATTGCTAAGCATATTTTTTTTTCTGCTTTCATCTTTTTATAGAAACATCATGGGCAAAAGTGTAGCAACATATATTTAAGGGTCGGGGGTGGTTGTGTCTCATTTTTCCCTTGATGCCTTTTACCCTAAAGTAGAATAAAACATTTATTTTAGAAGCATCCAAGCTTCATTTTAAACAGAATATGCTCTGCAGTTGACCAGCAGACAGAAACTCGGGGGAAGCTTTGCTCTGCCTGATGCGCCTGGACTGCTGTTTGAAGGATGAGCTACGTGCTAAGCCAGGAGTGCTTTTTGGTTGGCAGCTTTTATCTGATCTTTGGGAGAGGCCTGCAGCTCCGATACACAGTGTGGGAAGTCTGAAACTCCCGCTTACCATGATTATCATTGTGTGAAGGAGACCAGAGAGAAGAAAGCAATCGATCTTCTTTTTCTTTTAAGGTAGCAAAATAAATTCGTGATCTTGTTTAAATTCATTATGTTTATCTTCTTTTTATTCATGGTCTCAACGTACTATACGGTTTCTATCTGGTCTTCAAAGCAGTTCTATATATTGATTTATAATAGTGATAAAAGTCGCTTTCAGGTGTTCAGGGACTGATGTTTTTCTCCCCTCTGCTCTGGAAGGCAGGAGGCTGGGAGGTGCAAGGCCTCATCCGAATCAGCACCTGCTCTGCAGGCCAGCAGTGGCTGAGGGTGAAATTCTAATCAGTCGCTTCGTTACCCGTGAGGATGGCTGGTGGAAGGCCAGCTTGGGAGGAGGAAAAAGTACATCAACCCAATTATTAATGGGTTTACTTTTGTTCTAGTCCCCTTTGTGCCATCACGGGAGGGGACAGTACAAAGGTTGCTGTCACTGCAGAGAGCCTCTTGTTATTTATATCCCCTACAGTGTCCTCTGGGCTGGCCAAGCAGAAGGCAGGCTTGTGTGGCTCTGCCAAGGAGCAGCTTATCCCAGGGCCAAACAGACACCAGCTGACGCCAGCGGCGCCCGGGGATCGGGTGTGCACGCTCGGCTCCACTGTGCAGGCGCAGAACTGCCCCGGAGGAGCACAGCGGGGCTGCAGTGGGTCCCCCGACTGCTGGTCTCCGGTGAGTATACTAAAGGATAAGAAGACTGTCTATTTCTGGTGGTTTTGTTTTTCCAAGAGTGATGACATTTTTTCCTAATGGCAGCTTACAATTGGGCATCCCACAGTTACGGTAAACACAGGACTATTCCCTAAGAACAGGATCTTTATGCAACTTTGCAGCTAGAAGTACTGCTTGGAGCCGGGCCCCAGCAGGGCCATGTCCTATTGTAGGCAAACTTAAGATGAAAATTAGGTTTATATTTTGAAAAGTATGGGATTAACTTTCTTGCCATTTCTTAACCTCTGTGCACTCTTCACCTAAAGCTCACGGCAAGTTCCCTAGGGAAAGATGGAAGCGTGCAGGGGCGCTGAGGTGGGCGAGGCACCCCTCGCTTTGGGGGACACATTCCGGAGGCCCCTATGGCTGCCTGCAGCCCAGGTAGTGACCAGCAGGCCGTGCAGGTACCGCAGATGGCCAAGGTTGCCCTCCACAGCTCAGCTCAGATGGACGCACACGTTGAACTTAGACACTTTTACTTCTGGAACCTTCCATTTAATCTTCCTGGATGAAGCTTAACTGCAGGTAGCGGAAGCGACCTGAAGCAGAGTGGATAAGGGGAGATGCTCCAGGTGCCAGGGCTTGCTGTGTATCTAGCCCTGGATTTGTGTTAACGACAAGCCATTCCACCTTCCTTTTCAAATTCTGAGGGGTTATTTTTGCTCTCTATATTTGTCTTTTTTTCTAGTTTGTAGCTCCATGAAACAAGAAGTAATTCTGACATAGTCACTGTGGAATTCCCTGGGACTTGGGATAGCATCTGAAACATCCAAGGCGCTTTGTATTTGTGGAGGAATGAATGACAGCAGATATGACAACCTGTGGATAGAAGTTTGCACAGCCTTTGGAGGCCCGGAAGATGCAAAAACAGCCGGTGAGAAGAGCGAGCAGACTGCAGGCAGGCAAGGAAGTAGAGCTTTCAAGGCCGTGTTAACTTCCTGTCGCCGTGGCAAAGCGCCCGCGAGTCGGCCTCCACAGAGAAGGGCTTTGGGGCCCGCAGTCCATGCTTTCCTGGTCCTGTGGCTTTAGGACCTGCGGTGAGACAGCACCTCATGGTGGGAGCTGGTGGCAGAGGGAGCCCCTCACCTCGAGGTGGGAGAGGGGAGCAAGAGGGGGAGAGAGGGAGGAGCTTGGGGCCCCACTGTCCCCTCCCTGGGCGCCCGGGTGGCCTCCCTTCCTCCCAGCCGCTCCATCAGCGGGTGGCCCGACCTGCGACCCTTGGCTCAAGGGCCTTTGTGGGATTGAAGGCCCAAACCACAGCAGGGGCTCACGTTTTCCACGGAGAGCGCGAGGTGGATTTGGAGCTCTCTGAA